ACCTAGGGTATCACCTACTAATACAGTGGGTTTGGCTGTTCTGTCAGTGAAAATCTAGGTATGATTATTTGTGAGAAACTCTTCTTTGATAAAATAGACAGTAGCTGCTTTGTGAAATGTAGAAGAGATAATCAAAGCAAATATACCCAGTTGCAAATTGCCTGGCCCCTCCTTGAAAGTTTCCACACTTCATAATTTGATTGTTCAGGCACTCTTCCCATGCTTGCAAGTGTAATCTCAGGTGCTCTCTCAATAGATCATCCTTGAATAAATTTTATTGCATTTGTCTCTTTGGGAAGTAATCTGCTCTTGTTTTTTCTTTATACTTTTGAAGGAATCAATGTGTATCATGTTTCAGAGGTCAGTTTGTCAGTGGGAAATTGAAGAATTGACTTTTTGTATTGTGAATATTGAACATTTTAAAAGGATTATTTGGTCTTTTTTGTATTTAACTCAAGCTACAACCAACTAAAGTTTGTGAAAATTAATTTAGTAATTCATGACCTGAACAAGTAATAATAAAATGAAGCCTCAGGTGCAAAATTGAGGGGATGCTAAAAGCTCCACTAGTCAAGATTAATAATAGTTTAATGCAGTATTTAAAATAATTATTAATACAAAAACTTAATGGTGAACAAAATATCAAACTTTTAAATAGAAACAGGATCTGACTCTGCACTTGTCTGACTCCCCTCACTTACCTCACCTAAGTCCTGGCCCTGACTCACTAGCATTTAAAAAGACGGCATAGAACATATTAGAGTTCATTAGAAATATTTTAAGTGTGAATGTTATACTGGGTTATAAAGATGCAAAATATACACTGAATAGCACATGCACAGTTTTTAAGATCAAGGACTCTGCGGACTACCTCTGTGTGGCTTTAGGCCCTCTAACCTCTCTTGGTTTTAGTTTCCTCATCTTTAAACTGGGACGAAAACATTACCTTCATTATTGGTAGGATGACCACTTAATCTATCTGAACAAGGACAATCATTTTAGTGGAAAAGTGGCATTAACAGACACTACAACATTATAATATTGATTATTGCAAAATAAAAAGTGTTATCAAACAATAAGACAATTACATGCAACCTGAAAAAACTACTCAATCCTGAGCATTCAGATGCTTTAGAGCAAGAATGCACACTTTCTATGTTTTGTTTGTTTCATGATCATGAAACCTACGTTTTTTCTTAGTTTCCACTGACCCCACCAAGAAATGGCCTGGTGACTTCATGGATTTTCTATGCTAAGCCATTGTCCAAGGTGGTACCCAAGTGGCCAATAGGGGCAGAAATGGCCCATCTCTGCCAAAGACCAAAAAAAAGAATCATCTGTCCCCAATCTTTTGTATCCAAGTGCATTTCATTTTATGAGCAAGCTCCTTGCAAATTATCCTGGGAAGGGAATGCTAGGTAACATTACATGTGGAAAACATAAAGAGAAGAGACTGGAGATCATGATTTTGTTTTGTTTTGTTCTATTTTGTTTAACTTTCACCACATGTTCAAGTGAGAACTTATTCATTGCATATTACGGCTTGTATCTAGATGTACCCTGAAGCTTCATGTGGTCATAGGTGGGGAATTTTGAAGGTGGATGGATTAGGATGTCTGAATGTGGATTAGGAGTGTGATACTGGGATTAAGGATGTGGATAATGGAAGCCTCACCCTGGGTATGGCTTGTAGTTTAGATGGCATGGAAAAGGAAAGAGGGAAGGCAGGCTGCTGCTGCTTGCTGCTTGGTATCTTCTACCTATAATGTCATGGACTATTTCTCTTCTGCAATGCCCCTCTCCCATGCCACCCTGCCTTGGAGCCAGCTGACTATGGACTGAAACCTCTACAAACTGAGAACTAAAATAAATCTTTCCTCCTTTAACGTGTGCTGTTTGTCTCAGAAATGAGAAAAATAAGTAAGACACTGAACATGTATTACCCCACACTCGGAGATCACACCATGACAGAAGCCAGAGTGGAAGTCAACGAGACCCATTTTTTCTTTTTTGATACTGGAGATTGAACCAAAGGTCTTTGCATTTGCTCTGCAAAATGGCATATGGAGGGCCAGTGATGCGGGCAGTGGGAATTTACAAACTATCAAGAAATATAGAAATGTAGAGTTTATTGTATGCTGCAAGAGAGTGGTGGGCAAGTTCCAAGAGGCTGTCCCATCAGGGCAAGAGGTTGGGGTTTTTATAAGGGATTGAAGATGTGGGAAAGAGTCTCAGTTAGCAAATCTATATATCCTAGAAATGCATTTTCCAGGGCATCTTGTTCCTTCTTAATCTTCCAGGAATACCTGTGTTGTAACCAAAGTTGTACATATAAGTTGCAAATTGGCAAAGTCATTTACTTTGGCCTCACAAGAGTTCCCTTCACATTAGAAGGAAGCTTTCTTTTTATCTCATGCTGGTTTGGGTCAATGTTAGTATATTATCTTATTACTGCTTAGTAGTACTGGCCAGGATTGCTTTAATGGGGGAGTTTTGTCTCCATACCACTGAGCTACACATCCAGCCCTTTAAAAATTTTTTTTTAAAATTTTGAGACAGAGTCTCACTAAATTGCTAAATTGCCCAGGTTAGGCTCAAACTTCTGATCCTCCTGACTCAGCATCCTCCAGTTCTGGGATTACAGGCATGTGCCATCTCACTCAGCAAGTTTATTTTAATGAAACTATTAATAAAATTATTTTGTTTAAAATGAAGAACCTGGGACGAATACTAAATCACACACGGTATTGGAAAAGTTATAGGTATAAAACGGGACTTTTCCACATAAGGTTAGCTGTATGATTGCACTGTTCTCAGAGTTGTAGTGGGGATTTAAAAAATTGCTATATATAAAGTATTTAGAATAATACCTGGCATGGAGTAAGCCTTCAGTGAAAGATCCTGCTACCATTTATTTCCTACCATGGATCAGACTCCAAACATTTGAAAAGCTTTGCCTTTCCCAAGGGACAAATAATTTTAAAATGCTTCTTTTTCTTTTTCTTTTTTCTTTTTGCAAAATTCAGTCATCAGTGATAATTAGGAGCCTTGACTGCAAAGGTCAAGCATGCTTTGTTTTGCTCTTTACATCCCACTACCCAAGTCATATCTTTTGTCATTAAACTGCTTTAAATATTCATTTTGAGATATGCAAACTCAAGAACATTTCCAAGGAAAGCATACATATTTACCTTTGTCAATAGTTTAAAAAAAGACAAAGCAGTGATTCTGTCAAATGGTATCTCTAAGAAGTCTCTCTTTAATCTTAAGTGTCTTTTTTTTTCCACTTTCCTCAAACTTAGCTCCTTTGTTACAGCTGAAGTCTGGTCAGTAACTTCACTATGAATTTCCCTTATTACTGTTGTTATCTACCATCACCTTACCACAATCTCTTATTAGTTGATTACTTCAGCCTCTATTTCCCTCTTGACCCAACACTCTCAACAGTATCACCTTTCCTAGGGGAAGAAGTTCAATATCCATATAGTTTATTGATCCCATCCCAGACCTCTCTATTTCTGGACTACCTATCAATACTTTTTCCTTCAACCAACTTTAGCCATATATTCGTACTGTCATAACTTTGTCTTTATCTTTATTTCCTGTGAATAGCCGGTGTCTCCTTCATGTTCTTCCTCATCTATCTGCCTTAGTGTTTCTGGTTCATCATTAAAACCACTCCATTGTGAACATCCTTAACCTCCATTTTTGTCTCTTCTTTCTTGCCTTCCATTTTTCAGGATATCTTTTCTTTTTCAGAGTATGTGCAGAAAATATTTTGGAAGATGCAGTCAGGACCCAGTGAGCTCACACATATAAATTCCTCAATGTAAGCAATATCTAACAGCAGATATTTAGCTTTACATCTAGATATTTAGAAACATTTAGTTTGACAGTGAAATATTTTTGGGCTTGCTCCAACATAGTAGCATATAATTGTGGCTTCAGCAGGTTTAATTTATCAAATTGTGTAGGAGACAGATTTTTGCAAAATCTCATCTACTATTTATAAAATTTTAATGTGGTTCTCTAACAATATTAATAACAAGAACAATATTATTATAGAGGTAACATTCTCTATATCAAAGGACATATTTCTCTTGCAGAGTTTGAAACAGAAAATAGGGAAAAGTATTCTGATATTTTATATGAGATGGGGTTATAAATCCGACTAGTAATTTCCAATCATGCCTACACACTGGAATTGCCACGGAGCTACAGAAATACTGATATTGGCACAATAGTGTGCCCCATCCTGCAATTGGGATTTAATTGTTTGCTATGGCCAAGGTTTGGAATTTTTGAAAAATCTCCAGGTGATTCTAAAATGCAAGCAAGTTTGGGAACCACTAAGCTGGAGATCTTGAACTATATATTTCAAATTTTAAACTTCAAGTCTTTGGATAGTGTAAAACTTAAATTTCTGCATTAAAATTTAAGTTAAGATAATGAAATTGGTCTAATTAGATTTATCAAGTTGTAATCTATATAAATAGGGCACTATTTCCATAAAACTGGAGCAAATGAAAAAGTCAATCAAATCAGCTATATGCACACACAGTCTTAACATACAAATGAGCAATATTCAGAATAGCCAGGATTTTAATTAACTTTTTCAAATTGAGTCTTCATACCCAATTAGAGTTGCCAGATAAAATACAGAGAGTGCAATCAAATTTGAATTTCAGATAAACAAATAATTTTTTATTATAAACACATCCCATGCACTATTTGGGACATACTTACACTAGATATTGCTTGGTAGCCATCTGAAATTCAAGTTTATATACATGCCCTGTATTTTTTAAATTTGCTAAGTCAGACAATTCCAACCCCAATTTTAAAGGAATAACTTTTAGGACTTTTTATAACTTTTAAAGGAAAAATCACAACAAAAATTAACTTCAGCTTCTTGGTCATTCTATGTTCTGTTTTCTAAATTACATTGCCCGTTAACCTCCTCAAGCTCTACATGACTTTGTACTGAGGGCTAACTGTACCTTGTTCTGCTTCTTCTGTCTTTTTCGGAGGCGCAAGAACTCCTTGTGCTGCCTGGAGACAAAGTTCACTGCTGCATACTCCAGTAAGGCAGCAAACACAAACAGAAGGCACACTGCCATCCAGATGTCAATTGCTTTTACATAGGAGACCTGAGAGAGAGGGAGAGAGAGAGAGGGAGAGGGAGAGGGAGAGAGAGAGAGAGAAACGATGAGGCTATGAGGTTATGAATACTTTTAGGGAAACCAGATTCATAATGGTGTGAATAGCAGAATAATCTCATTTCCTTGATCAAGGACTTTCTAGCCTTTCCTTAAGAAAGTATGTAAGTTATTGTGACTAGAGCTATAATAAACAACTTAAATGTCCATCAGTGGAGCAATGAGTAAAGAAAATGTGCTGTATAGACACAACAGAATACTTTTCAGCCATAAAAAAATGGAATTCTGTTATTTGTATCAACATGGATGGAAGTGGAGGACATTATGTTAAATGAAATAAGTGAGGCACAGAAGGACAAACACCAAATAATCTCCTTCATATATGAAATTTTAAAGAGTTGATTTTATACAAGTTGGGAGTACAATTGTGGTTACTTAAGAGTGGGGAAGTGGGAGGTATTGGTGAGAGGTGGGTAATGGATATGATATTATAGTAAGAAAGAATAAATTCTGGTGCTTTGTGGCACAGAGGGAGATTAAAATTAACAATACATTATTATTAATTTATAGTTAATGTATTAAATATTTAATGTATTAAAGTTATAGTTAATGTATTAAGTAGTTAGAAAAGAGGACTTTGTACTTTCCATAGAGAAATTATAGAAGTTTAATATCATGGATGTGTTAATCATTCTGAGCTGATCATTACTCAATATACATATGAATCTAACATCTCAACAAGGGGTAAATGTGTAGCTCAGTGTTAGAGCACATATGTGGCATGTGTGAGGCCCTGGGTTCAATCTCCTGCACCAAGAGGAAGCCTTGTAAAACATCACATTAGACCTCATAGGTATATACAAATATTATGTGTCAATCAAACTTTTAAAAGATTATAACATTAAAAATGTATCAATTCTTCTGAGAAGATTCTGGGCAGAGCAGTAACAGTCATAAGCCTTCCCTGTCCCCCTGGTTTAATCTCTCTCAGCATAGTCCCTCTGCTCACATAGCTTCATCCTTGAGATAGCTCCAAAGATTATAAAACTTCTCTAAGGAGAATGTATTTTAAGTCTTCTCACCACAAAAAAATAAGTATGAGGTAATGCATATATTTAACAATTCAATTTAGCCATTCCACAATGTGTAGATTTATTAATACATCATGGTGTACATTATAATTTTTTCAATTAAAATTTAAAAGATTTCTTTAAAAGAAAAATTTTGAGGGTAATATAGAATGGATTCTATTATAAAAACTTCCTTTTATTTTTCCTAACAACTAAAATCCAATATAGCTAGAATAATTCCAAAATGTGAATGAGAAATAAGCTATATATGGCTTTATGCCTTTCAAAAACCAATTTGTAATTTCTAACAATTTATTGATCCTAATTGACATGAAAATAACTCTAAATAGCTTTAGACTCTCAGAGTTCAAAAGTATTCAACTGAATTAAAACATCAAAGTTCTAGACTTGAGGAGGTATCTGGTTGATAAGGAAATTTTTACTTCCCTTGGTTGTGTTTAGTAAATCTTTTAATTTGACAAAACAGATACTGAAAGAAAATTATTTTTATTTACAATGGAAAATATTCCTCATCTCACTCAACTTAAAATTATTTATAAAGTACAAGGGGCAAAACAAATGGACAAAGTTGTAACATTGAACATCAGACTACAAAAGACATATCAAATTTATGGCTGTGTGCATGCCATTCAATTCTAACTTATATGTAGGATTTCTTTTTTTTTATAGTTGTCCCTATTGCCAGCCAGCATATTAAGTATTATACATGTATTAATTATTTAACTCCTAAAACAACTGTATTATCCCATTTTCTGATGTGGAAACCAAGATACAGAGAAGTTTGATTGTTATTTAAGGTCATAAAACTAATAAGTGACAAGCCAAGACTCTATTGAAACTCAATCACCTAGTGGTACTCCTTTCTGAGCAGACACAAATAAACACAGTATTAGGATTACGCAGTTTGTATTCTGAATTTTCCTTTGACCTGTGTAGTGAGTACTCACCATGCTCTTTAACATTTTCTAAGTGATAATTTCCAATGTTTGCATAATAGTCCATGTCATGATTAATCATTTCACATTACAGGATACTTTGGTTATGTTCTATTTCATTTTTGTGACTAAGAGTTTTGCTTCTATGAACATTCTTTCCCCTAAATATTTGACTATTTTTTTGCTTATTTGCTAGATCAATTTTTAGATGAATTATATGATAATGATAAAAAATTAAGTTCTTGACTTAAAAAGTTAGCAGTACTAAAAATGACACTCTGGAGTGAGATACCCCAAACACAAAGCATTGCTTTGCTACCATTTCTCAAATTTCTCCAAGTTGTTTTACATCTCTGACTCCATTCCTCCACCGTAAATAAGGAATAATCATAATACCTATGTCATGGAGTTATTATTTGGATAAAATCACTTAATTTATATAAAAATCTTAGAATTGTGTCAAGCACAGAATAAATATTGTATTAATGTTTGCAACTATTTGGCTATATAAGGAAGAGATAAAAATTAACAAGGAAAATAAAAATTACCCACAACCCTAACAAAATATGGTTATACTTCTTAAGGTCACCACCTGCATTTCACTATTTGGCTCAGACAATCTGAATTACTGGACTGTGTGGGCTGCTGTGTGGGGATCCAGGTCCATGCATTATAGGTGCCTGAGGCCAGAAAACCCATTGTTATGAGCTCGAGAAGATGGTGCAGTGGTGAGCAGGAGAGAGAGGGCCTCTGAGATTTTGTTGAAAGTAGAAGCCCACAAGGAGAGCAAAGAGAGTCACTGTAATAAAGATGCATCAGACTATAGCAGTTGGTGAGTTGGTGGGAAAAATCACCTCCTACTGGAACCCAGACTAAATGTGGGGGAAGGGCAGTACCCGCAGTAGAACTGTGCAGAGTTGAAACCTGCAGGAAGTCAGGGAACTCAATTCCAGCCTCACAGCCAGAAACCAGCCTGAATCTCTATGGTCTATGGCTGGCTCACTGAAATTAATCAACTTGGTTCTGCACACTGCTGCCCATGTTGTCTACGTTGACAGCAGACACACCTTGAAGGGGAATTTTTTTTCTTCTTCTCCTGTCTTCTTCATTTCTGTCCTTTCTTGTTCCTGGTTTTATTCTATTTTTTCTCTTTTTCTCAATTGTTCTTATTTTGTGTGTGTGTGTGTGTGTGTTTTTTTTTTTTTTGGTACCAGGGATCGAACTCAGGTCCTTGCCCTTCTGCAGCAGGTGGTGAAATCAATAATTCTGACGATGTAGAATCTTTTTTTTTTTTTTGGTACTGGGGATCGAAGTCGGGTCCTTGCGCTTGTGCAGCAGGTGGCAAAACCACTGAGCTAAATCCCTGGCCCCAATTGTTCTTATTTTTATAGGAGAGTGAATACAGTTTATAGTTTTTCTGTTGCTGTTAGTTTGTTCTGTTTTTGTCTCTTTTCCTTCTCTCTTTTCCTCCTGTCTTCACTAGTTTCCCAAAGTTTGCCTGATCTTCCTATATCCTCTAGCCCTATTTCTAACCTCTCCCTCTCTTTCTATCTTTCTGCTCCCCTCCCAACTCCCTCAAAGTCTTCTTCCCAGAGGGTAAATCCACTATATTGAAGGGCTTCTGTGCTCCAAATATATTTCTGGTTGGTCCTTGATTTTGATCCATAACCACAAATATAATTTCTGTGGTTAAAGGTGGCAGATAAATAGTAATGCAATTTGTCACTTTCTAAGCTGTGTTTGATGATATAGTTGATGGTGACTGTATTACTTTGGCCAAGGTGATGTGATTGTTCTAGGCAGTTGTCCTGCCTGGTATACCAAGACTGATTACCCAAGGGCCATTACAAACTCAAAACCAAAGGCCAATTATACCTGGAAGACAATCTGAAAAGTAACCATTCCCTAAGAGTTCTAAATACTAGCAACAAAGATACTTGAAATAAGCAATATACAACCAACAACCCAGGAATTAAACCAAAAACATAAACAATAAAAAAATAGGAATGTGAAGACACCTAAACAATACACAAACCCAGACTTCCAGATCACCAAAGGCAAATCCAGGAGGCAACAAGATGGAACATTCAGAAATTCAACCACCTAGATTTCCTGAACTGGTAACAAGGGAAGTAATAAAACAGATGGAAGAGGCTCTGGAAAAAAGGAAATCAGAAATAATTATTCAGATAGCAGCAGAGATGGTGACCATAATGAAAGACATGATTAATAACTCTAGAGAAGACACAGACTAAAAAAGTATAAAGGAGTTCAGGAACATGATGGAAACCATGAATGCACAAAATTGGAAAGAAATGGAATCCATGAAACAGATTCAGACTGATATGCAGGAGTTTAAAAAATCCATTGAAATTATATGCAGCAGAATGAACCAATGTGAGGACAGAATATTGGGTATAGAAGACAGGATTGCAGTTAGTGACTATGAAAAGGAGATTTTTTAAAAATAGCAAGAGACCATGAGAAATCAATACAGCAGCTGCTGGATGATACAAAGAAGAATAACATAAGACTGAGTCAATGAAATGAAGAATAATATAATATCAGAGTTGATGAAAAAGCATGAGATAATGTGAATGACATAAAAAAAAGTTCACAGAAGTAATGTCAGAAAACTTCCCAAGCAGGGGGAAAGAATTTGACATAGAGATAAGTGAGGCATATAGGACTCCCAACTATCCATGATTAAAAAAAAACTATATCTAGACATATAATAGCCAAGATTCCAGAAATCCAACGAAAGAACAAAATATTAAAAGCAGCTAGAGAAAAGAAACAAATCACATACAAAGCAAAGCCCATCAGAATCACAGCAGAATTCTCAATACACAACCTCAAGTGAAGAAGAGCTTGAAGTGAAGAACTGGAAGCCATAAAAGAAAACAACTTCTAAACCAGATTGATGTATTCTGCAAAACTATACTTCAAAATCCATGGAGAAATA